TACATACATCTGGGTTTTTCTCCTTTTTCTAAATAGTTTGTTCTTCTTTATTTCTTATTGTCCTGGGGAAGTGGAAAAAAATCTTTCCTCCGAAGCCCTGCGTGTCTTTTGAGGGGACAAAATGCCGGGGGGCAATGGGGTGTAAACCCCTTCTCCGTAGACATTTACTAAAAAAGAGAAGAAGAGAAACTTTATAAACTGGGATGCTTGAATGTGCGTGGATGTAGTGCAGATGACAAGAAACAGATGATTGCTGATGTTATGAATGAAAAGAAGTTGGATGTCCTGGCCCTAAGCGAAACAAAGCTGAAGGGGGTAGGGGAGTTTCAGTGGGGGGAAATAAATGGGATTAAATCTGGAGTATCTGAGAGATATAGAGCAAAGGAAGGGGTAGCAGTAATGTTGAATGATCAGTTATGGAAGGAGAAAAGAGAATATGAATGTGTAAATTCAAGAATTATGTGGATTAAAAGTAAAGGTTGGATGCGAGAAGTGGGTTATAATAAGCGTGTATGCACCTGGGGAAGAGAGGAATGCAGAGGAGAGAGAGAGATTTTGGGAGATGTTAAGTGAATGTATAGGAGTCTTTGAACCAAGTGAGAGAGTGATTGTGGTAGGGGATCTGAATGCTAAAGTAGGAGAAAACATTTTAGAGAGGGTGTGGTTAGGTAAGTTTGGGGTTGCCAGGTGTAAATGAAAATGGGAAGGCCCTTTGATTGAACTTTGTATAGAAAGGGGTTTAGTTATAGGTAATACATATTTTAAGAAAAAGAGGATAAATAAGTATACAAGATTGATGTAGGGCGAAATGACAGTAGTTTGTTGGATTATGTATTGGTAGATAAAAGGACTGTTGAGTAGACTTCAGGATGTACATGTTTATAGAGGGGCACAGATATATCAGATCACTTTCTAGTTGTAGCTACAACTGAGAGTAAAAGGTAGATGGGATACAAGGAGAATAGAAGCATCAGGGAAGAAAGAGGTGAAGGTTTATAAACTAAAAGAGGAGGCAGTTAGGGTAAGATATAAACAGCTATTGGAGGAAGATGGGCAAATGAAGCATAGGCAATGGGTCGAAGAGGATGGGGGTTTAAAAATGTAGTTTTGGGTTTTTCAGCAGATTTTGGGGTTACAGGAAAGTGGGGCGGGGGAAAGAGGAGGATTGGGGGAATGATGGTAAAGAGGTAGTAAGGGAAAAAAGTTAGCATAGAGAAGTTTTTACAAAGTAGAAGGATGCAAGGGGGAAGGTATATGGAGAAAAAGAGGAGGTTAAGGAGGGTGAAGCATGTAAAAAGAGAGCAAATGGGGAAAAAGTGGGGTGAGTGTTATAAACAAATTTTGTTGAAAATAAAAAAAAGTTTTGGAGGAGATTAACAAGTTAAAAAAGCCTAGAGAAAAAATGGTTTTGTAGTTAAAAAAGGAGAGGAGAGTTTTTAAATGGAGATTTTTAATGAGGGAATATTTTGAGGAATTGTTAAATGTTGAGAAGATAGGGAAGCTGTGTTCGTGTATGGAAAAGGGAGGAATAAATTTATAGGAGTGAGGAAGACCAGTTGTGATTGGGGGAAGTTTGGAGGCAGGTAGGTAAAATAAAAGGGGGGGTAAGGCACCGGGGAAAGATGGGGAAAAAGATGAAATGTTAAAAGCAGGGGGGGAAATATTTTGGGAGTGGTTGGTGAAATTTTTTAAATAAAGTATGGAAAGGGAAAGGAAACCTGGGGATTGGCAGGGCAGCATAGTTCCTTTGTATAAAAGGAAAAGGGGGACAAAAGGGGTGCAAAAATTATAGGGGGATAAGTCTTTTGAGATCCCTGGTAAAGTGTATGGTAGGTTATTATTGAAAGAATTAAGAGTAAGAAGAGAATAGGTAGCAGAGAACAAGGAGGTTTTAAAAGGAAAAGGGGGAAAGGGGGGGTGTGGACAGGGTTTACAGTGAAACATATAGTGAACAGTTTTAGATAAGGCTAAAAGGTTTTTGTGGCATTTTGGATTTGGGAAAAAACGTGTGACAGGGTGGATAGGGGGGCAATGTGGGAGATGTTGCAGGGGTATTTGGTGTAGGAGGAGGTTACGAAAGCGTAAGAGTTTTTTTACAAGGATAGTGAGGCCAAGTTTGAGTTGTAGGAAAGAGGGGGATTATTTCCCCGTAAAGTAGGCCTTGACAAGGGTGTGTGATGTCACCCTCGTTGTTTAATATATTTTGATGGGGTTGAAGAGAAGTAAATGCGAGGGTCTTGGCAAGAGGCTTTGGATTTTAAAAGATAAAGAATCACACACAAAGTGGGAGTTGTCACAGTTGCTCTTTGCTGATGACATGCTCTTGGGAGATTCTGAATGAAGTTGCAGAGGTTGGTGGATGAATTTGGTAGGGTATGCAAAAGAAGAAAATTTAAAAGTGAATACAGGAAAGAGTAAGGTTATGGGGAATAACAAAAAGATTAGGTGATGAAAATTGGATATCAGATTGGGGGGGAGAGAGTATGGAGGAGGTGAATGTATTCAGATATTTGGGAGTGGACGTATCAGCGGATGGGTCTATGAAAGATGAGGTGAATCATAGAATTGATGAGGGTAAAAGGGTGAGCGGTGCACTTAGGAGTCTGTGGAGACAAAGAACTTTGTCCTTGGAGGCAAAGAGAGGAATAATGAGAGTATAGTTTTAACCAAAAGCTCTTATATGGGTGTGAAGCATGGGTGATGAATGTTGCATCGAGGAGAAGGCTGGAGGCAGTGGAGATGTCATGTCTGAGGGCAATGTGTGATGTGAATATAATGCAGAGAATTCATAGTTTGGAAGTTAGGAGGAGGTGCGGGATTACCAAAACTGTTGTCCCGAGGGCTGAGGGGAAAGGGGTTTTTGAGGTGGTTTGGACATGTAGAGAGAATGGAGTGAAACAGAATGACTTCAAGAGTGTATCAGTCTGTAGTGGAATGAAGGCGGGGTAGGGGTCGGCCTAGGAAAGGTTGGAGGCATGCGTGAGCATGTTTGATAGGAGTGAATGGAGACAAATGGTTTTTAATACTTGACGTGCTGTTGGAGTGTGAGCAAAGTAACAAATTTGAAGGGATTCAGGGAAACCGGCAGGCCGGACTTGAGTCCTGGAGATGGGAAGTACAGTGCCTGCACTCTGAAGGAGGGGTGTTAATGTTGCAGTTTAAAAACTGTAGTGTAAAGCACCCTTCTGGCAAGACAGTGATGGAGTGAATGATGGTGAAAGTTTTTCTTTTTCGGGCCACCCTGCCTTGGTGGGAATCGGCCAGTGTATTAATAATAGTTTTTTTTTACTTTGTGCCAATTCAAGTTCTAATAAGCAGACCATTTGTAAAAAAAAAAAAATGTTGAGTAGAAATATCACCATTATCTTTGGAACTAAATGAATTCAGTGGGATAAAATTGGGATACTTATATAACTTTGCTCATACTGTTGCCTGCCAGTGGTTGAATTAAAGAATGTAAAGGTACAATGCCGTGGCTGGAACAATACTCAACCCACATATGGGAGAATGAAACTTATGACAATGTTTTGGTCTGACTTGGACCATTACTAGTCACTAGTTAATGATCCAAGTCAGACTGAAACATCATCAGAAGTTTCATTCTTCCTTTGTGTGTTATTTGTGAGGTTTGAGATGATAATCAATGTTGTGCTTATGCTATTTTTTTTTTTTTTTCAGATACATATGAAATGGTTGTTGAAGATTCTGAAAGAGGTATTAGGTTTGTGGTGTCGCATCACTATGAGGGGTCAGTCAGAGGAGCCGGAGACCTGTGCACTCCTCGCAGAATGAAGAGATTGGCCCAAGAGGCTGTGACTTTATCATCATCGCTCCCTCTGTCGTACTCTTCCTCGGTATTTGTTCGCACGGATCTCGATAGATTAGACATTATGAAGGTTTGTTCATTTTTATTTTCGTTCATCTAGTAGCATATACTATATCGTTTTACATTGCTCTATTTACAGGCTAGTATGATATGAAATATAAGATAATTTTTTTTTGAACTAGTGGAATGTCCCTTGAGATTAAATTAATTTTAATTTTGCACTTTGAATTTGGGAAGCTGCAGACGAATTTGTTCAAGGCTCTCATGCGAGAACTACTCTGAAGAAATTGTAAAAAGGATACCCTTTCTCTGATTGATACTTATTTGGATTTTTTTTTTTTTAACAAATCAGCCATTTCCCACCAAAGTAGGGTGGCCCAAAAAAGAAAAACTTTCACCATTCACCCCATCACTGTCTTGCCAGAGGTGCACTTACACTACAATTTAAAACTGCAACATTAGCACCCCTCCTTCAGAGTGCAGGTGCTGTACATCCCATCTCCAGGGCTAAGTTCGGCTTTCCAGTTTCCCTGAATCCCTTCATAAACATTACCCTACTCACACTCCATCAGTGTGTCAAGTTCCTAAAAACCTTTTGTCTCCATTCGCTCCTGTCTAACATGCTCATGCATGCTTGCTGGAAGTCCAAGCCCCTCGCACACAAAACCACCTGTACCCCTTCCCCCCAACCTTTCCTAGGCTGACCTCTACCCCGCCTTCCCTCCACTACAGATTTATACACATTCATTCTATTTTGTTCCATCCCTTTTACATGTCCAAACCACCTCAACAACCCTTTCTCAGCCCTCTAGATAATAGTTTTAGTAAGCCCACACCTCCTAATTTCTTCCAAACTACGAATTCTCTGCATTATGCTCACACCACACATTGCCCTCTAACACGAGATCTCCACTGCCTCCAGCCTTCTCCTTGTTGCAACATTCACCACTCATGCTTCACACCCATATAAGAGCATTGGTGTAACTAATCATATTTTGAATGTGTATACTTTTTGTATATGTAATTTTGTGACCCTCCCTCAGTGGGCAATGGCTGATTTTTTTTTTTTCAACAAACCGCCTGTATCCCACCAAGGCAGGGTGGCCCAAATAGAAAAACGAAAGTTTCTCTTTTTAATTTAGTAATTTATACAGGAGAAGGGGTTACTAGCCCCTTGCTCCTGGCATTTTAGTCTCCTCTTACAACACGCATGGCTTACGGAGGAAGAATTCTGTTCCACTTCCCCGTGGAGATAAGAGGAAATAAACAAGAAGAACTAAAAAGAAAATAGAAGAAAACCCGGAGGGGTGTTGTATATATATATATGCTTGTACATGTATGTGTAGTGTGACCTAAGTGTAAGTAGAAGTAGCAAGACGTACCTGAAACCTTGCATGTTTGTGAGACAGACAAAAAACACCAACAATCCTACCATCATGTAAAACAATTACAGGCTTTCATTTTACACTCACTTGGCAGGACGGTAGTACCTCCCTGGGTGGTTGCTGTTTACCAACCTACTACCTAGGGAAAATGGCTGATGTGTTAAAAAAAAAAAAAATTTAAGTGTACCCTCCTGAAAGTTATTTTTTAGAAGTATCAGGACACCCTTGATATAACAGACTAGTATGGGGGTTCTCAGAGTTTTTGTTAAATCAAAATAATGTTACAGCAAAAAAAAAAAAAAAAAAAAAAAAGGTACCAGACATTGTTTTAGATGTAGTATATTAGTGCACACAATTTACAATTATATTGTGATAAACAGTGAAATTAAAGTAATTATGATTTGCACAACAGATTTTGCCCGTTATTGTAATTGTTAAATTGAGGTGTTATACTGAGGGTGTGTAAAGGAAGAAAGTTGAAAGTGAACATAGATACGAGTAAGATGATGAGAGTATCAAATGAGTTAAGTAAAGAAAAAATTGGATATCACATTAGAGGGAGGGTGTATGGAAGAATTGAACATGTTCACATATTTGGGAGTTGACTTGTCAGCGGATGGGTGTACGAAGGACGAGGTAAACCAAAGAATTGATGAAGAAAAAAAGGTGAGTGGTGCCTTAAGGTGTCTGTGAAGACAAAAAACATTATCCATGGAGACAAAGAAGGAAATGTATGAGAGAATAGTGGTACCAACACTCTTTATTTGGGTGTGAAGCATGGGTTGTAAATACTGCAGCAAGGGGAGGCTGGAGGCAGTGGGGATGCTGTGTCTAAGAACAAGGTGTGGCATACATATTATGCAGAGATTTCTTTTTTTCAACAAACTGATCATATCCCACTGAGGCAGGGTGACCTAAAAGAAAAAACAAGTTTCTCTTTAAATTCTGGCATTTTAGTTGCCTCTTACCACCCATGTGGCTTACAGAAGAAGAATTCTCTTCAACTTCCCCATGAAGATAGGAAATAAACAAGAACAATAACTAGTAAAAAAACAAAAGAAAACTCAGAGGGGTGTGTGTATATGTATATGCTTGTACATGCATATGTAGTGTGACCTAAGTGTAAGTAGAAGTAGCAAGACGTACCTGAAATCTTGCATGTGCACGAGAAAAAAAAAAACACACCAGCAGTCCTATTGTCATGTAAAACATTTACAGGTTTCCTTTTTACACTCACTTGGCAGGGCGGTAGTACCTCCCTGGGTGGTTGCTGTCTACCAATCTACTACCTAGGGCAGAGAAGTCATGATGTGGAAATTAGGAGGAGATGCAGAGCTACTAAAAGTACTATTCAGAAGGCTGAGGAGGGGTTGTTGAAGTGGTTTGGTCACTTAGAGGTGGAGCAAAATAGGATGACTTGGAGGGTGTATAAATTATAGTGGAGGGGAGGAGGAGTAGGGGTCATCCTAGGAAAGGATGGAGGGAGGGGGTAAAAGATGTTTTGTGTGCAAGGGGCTTGGACATAAAGCAGACATGTGAGCGGGTTAGGTAGGAGTGAATGGAAACGAATGGTTTTTGGGACTTGACGAGCTGTTAATGTGTGTGAAGGGTTATATTTTGTGAAGGTATTTAGGGAAACTGGTTAGCTGGACTTGAGTCCTGGAGGTGGGAAGTACAACACCTGTACTTTAAAGGAATGGTTTGGGAAATTTGCTGTTTGGAGCGACATCTGAACCATCATACCTGCATGCCTCTGCAAAGACAGTGATTATGTGTGAATGATGGTGAAAATGTTTCTTTTTTTGAGCCACCATGCCTCAGTGGGAGATGGCTGGTGTGTTGAAAAAAAAAAAATGAGGGTTTACTGTACATTCATAATGTACCACCATTTAGTAGTCTTCTTTATATCCAAGTAAGATAAAAGTATGATAGAGATGAGCAATACTGTACAGCAGATCTGATAAGCAGACCAGACTCATTGACGTGATAGTGACATGTTTCAGTTGTGTGAAATACACATGTACACATATCTGTGACGGGTGTTAAGAATTTTATTGCTATCTAATATGCTTACATATGCCTATTGGATGTCCAAGCCCCTTGCACACTTAACCTCCTTTATTCCCCACTTCTTTCTCCAGCCTTCCCTAGGATGACCCACCCCTCCTTCCCTCCACTACAGATTTTTACACCCCACCCCAATTATTTTAATTTTATAATTTTTTCTCACAGGTGCTTATAACAGGGCCGGAAGATACCCCATATGCCAATGGCTGCTTTGAGTTTGATGTTACTATTTTTGAAAAAATTAAATAAACCCCCCAATTAACCTACAACCGGGGGAGGAGGAAAGTCAATGTTTCTTAACATTTAAACAGTTTAGTAAATTTTTTTGTTAGTTTAGAAAGGAAATTAATTTTGTTTCAAAATGAATTTGTTTTTAAATGTTTTGTAAAATTTTGGGGTAATAGGCTCATTATTAGAAAAAAGAAACATGGAAAATTCTTGGGGGAGGTTGTCCCATGTTTTTCCAAATTTAACGATGGAGGTTGATTTTCGATTTTTTTGCTTCCCATAAAAGTACAAAATTTTAAAGGTGAGAAAGGACCCCCGGAGCAGGCCTTGCCCTTGGGAAAGGGGTTTGTCTTGATCGGGAATAGTTTTCCAAGTTTTTTGGGTGTAACATGGGATTGGGCCGGGGGAAAAGGCTGATAGTCTTTAAAAAGGGGGGGAAAAAGAGAAAATTGTAAAAATTAAGGGGGGGAATAATTTACTGTTCCAGTGAAAAGGGGTTGGTAGGTTTTAATTGAAAGAATAGAGGAAACAGAATTAGGGATTTGTGGGAAGGAAGCGGGAGTTCCCAGGGGGGTTGGGGGAGGGTGGATGTGTAGTCAAGGTTACTTGAAGGGCATGTTTTAAAACGTTTTGATAAAGGAAGGGAAAAGTTTTTATATTGCTTTTAGGGGAAAGAAAACATAGGGAATTTAGGGGAAAGAGGGCAATTGGGTGGAGATGGGAAGTAATAGAATAGGGGGGTAAGTTCTTTAAAAGGGTTGTAAAAGACTTTGGAAGACCAGTTGAGGGGTAAAAAGGAGGGAAATTTTCCCTTTTTAGGCCAGGGTGGAATCCCAGGTTGTTTAATAAATAAAAAGGGTTGTAAAAGAAGTAAATGTTTAGGGTGTTTGTGAGAGGGGTGGGATTAAATTATGGGGAATCAAATTCAAAATAAAAATTTGACACACAGTTACTTTTTGCTGATGATACTGTGTTTTAGGGGAGATTCTAAAGAAAAATTGCAAAGGTTAGTGGATGAGTTTGAGAATGTGTGTAAAGGTAGAAGTTGAAAGTGAACATAGAAAAGAGTAAGGTGAATGAGGGTATCAAATATTTAGATAAAGAAAATTGGATATCAAATTGGGGAGAGGAGTTTGGAAGAAGTGAATGTTTCAGATATTTGGGAGTTGACGTGTCGGCGGATGGATTTATGAAGGATGAGGTTAATCATAGAATTGATGAGGGAAAAAGGTGGATGGTGCGTTGAGTATATGTGAAGTCAAAAAACTTTATCTATGGAGGCAAAGAAGGGATGTAGAAAGTATAGTAGTACCAACACTCTTATATGGTGTGAAGCTTGGGTGGTAAATGCAGAAAGCGAGGAGACGGTTGGAGGCAGTGGAGATGTCCTTCTAAGGGAAATGTGTGGTGTAAATTTTAAATGCAGAAAATTCGGAGTGTGGAAAATTAGGAGAAGGTGGGGGAGTTAATAAAAGCATTAGTCAGGGGGCAGAAGAGGGGTTGTTGAGGGGGTTTTGGGATTTAGAGAAATGGATCAAAGTAGAATGACATGGAAAGCATAAAACCCATAGGGAAGGAAGGAGGGGTAGGGGCCCTCCTCGAAAGGGTTGGAAAGAGGGGGTAAAGGAGGTTTTGTGGGCTAGGGGCTTGACTTCCAGCAAACGTGGCATGAGCTGTTAGGAGTGAATGGAGGCGAATGATACTTGGGACCTGACGATCTGTTGGAGTGTGAGCAGGGTAATATTTAGTGAAGGGATTCAGGGAAACCGGTTATGTTCATATAGTCGGACTTGAGTCCTGGAAATGGGAAGTACAATGCCTGCACTTTAAAGGAGGGGTTTGGGATATTGGCAGTTTGGAGGGATATGTTGTGTATCTTTATACGTATATGCTTCTAAGCTGTTGTATTCTGAGCACCTCTGCAAAAGCAGTGATAATGTGTGAGTGTGGTGAAAGTGTTGAATGATGATGAAAGTATTTTCTTTTTGGGGATTTTCTTTCTTTTTTGGGTCACCCTGCCTCGGTGGGAGACGGCCGACTTGTTGGAAAAAAAAAAAAACATACAGAATTCCACTGGAACGGGTTAATTGCATTTCAATTAATTTAAATGAGGAAAATTGACTCTGCAAACGAGCAAATCCAGTTGCGAGCAAGGTCGTGGAAGATTTTAATATTTTAATAATTTTCACTGTATTTGAGGAAAATGCTCTATAAAACATTTTTTTTAAGGGATCCTTTAAATATTCTCAGAACCCCCATCCTCCATGCATTCTTTTACCTTTCATGTTTATAATTGCTGTGAATAGTGTTCTTGCCAGTTAGTCAGAATTTTTATAAGCAATAATTTACTTAAATTATCAGTGTACTTTCCACATTCGAGGTGGATAGAGCTGCTACAGTGGTATTAGTGCAGAAACAGGTGGTATTAGTGCAGAAACAGGTGGTATTAATACAGAAACAGGTGGTATTAATACTAAAACCTCTGCTTTTGAAATTACCATCTCCACTTGCTGATAGTGTTGGAATTTGCTACACCCACACCATTCTGATTATTACGAGTTTATGTATATGTTAATATAACCAGCTGCTGGACCTGGTGACTAACATTTTTTACAAGGCTGTGTACACTAAAATAACCAGCTGCTGAGTCTAAGTGTTGTGTATTTCCTTGAAATCTGTTATACCTTCAAGTTGTGTTTACCAATTATCCATAGCTGCTGCCACCCACCCTATTTCTATCATGCAGATAACACAAGCACTCAGCCTTAACATTCAAAATTAAATTCATAGTCCTAACTTTTGGAAGCTTCTGCCTTTAGTCAACATTTCTTAATACTAATTACACATTGCAAATCATGGTGTATCAAACTTCCTTTAACCTTTTGAGGGTCCATCCCATAGTTCTACTGCTTTGTAGCCAGAGTCCAAGCTGTAGTTCTACACCATAATTGGCTCGCTCAGATAAGCTGTGAGTGGTAACTTTTGGCCTAGATATGAGAGAATACATCTATGTGGTAAGTGTACACCACATAACACAAATCCTGCAGCACGCAGTGCATAAAGAGAAAAAAAAATTGCTACCATATTTTTTAAATAAAACGGCAACTTTGTGGTTTTTTTGTATGTTTTTTACAGTTGTATTAACAGTTTCTTGGTCTCATTTGATAGAAAGGAGGATATTGGTTTTAGTACTGAAAATGGCTTGAAACTGAGCTCAAAGTAGCAGAAATGTTCAATTTTTGCCCATTCTCAAGCATAAACAAATAACGTCACACGTACAGTACACATCATCTAATGGGTCTAATATATGTTCACAAATGTGCTGATATTATTTATACAATTATTACAATATTGCATAACAGTAAATATTCTAATTTTTGGTGCGAATAAAAATTCATTATGTGAAAAAAAAATTGAAATGGAATTCACTTGTAAAGCCCGGAAACATAACTAATAAACAGAGGAAATGTTAGTTTAGTGTCAGGAATGTCTGCATTGTTTATTCTGGACCCTATTTTCAGATTGGAATATTTTGAACTTCGTGTGAAATTGGACAAATTACCAATTTCCGATCACTTTATTGGGTAGTTGAAATAGTTGACTGGGCGATTTCTTGTGCTCAGTCAATAAAATAGAAGTAATACTAGCGAAATAGCTAAGAATTTGGTCGACTGGAATAATGTAATTGGCCTAAAATGGGAGTCTAAGTCGACAAAATTTGCCCATGTGTTAATATCGCTGATGCAGCAAAATTCGGAGAGATATTCTCTACCATTTCATGAGAAAAAACAAATACCAAATTTTTTTGGAAAATTCTTGGACCCTGTGGACAAGTTTCAGATCAGGGGTCTGGACCCTGAAAGGGTTAAACATTGCATTGTGCATATTTATTGGATGTTGTTCTTAATGTAATACATAACTCATTTTTTTTTTTTTTTTTTTTTTTTTCTCTCTCTCAACAAGTTGGTCGCCTCCCACCGAGGCAGGGTGACCCAAAAAAGAAAGAAAATCCCCAAAAAGAAAATACTTTCATCATCATTCAACACTTTCACCACACTCACACATTATCACTGCTTTTGCAGAGGTGCTCAGAATACAACAGTTTAGAAGCATATACGTATAAAGATACACAACATATCCCTCCAAACGCCAATATCCCAAACCCCTCCTTTAAAGTGCAGGCATTGTACTTCCCATTTCCAGGACTCAATTCCGACTATATGAAAAGAACCGGTTTCCCCGAATCCCTTCACTAAATATTACCCTGCTCACATCCAACAGATCGTCCCGGTCCCAAGTATCATTTGTCTCCATTCACTCCTTCTAACACGCTCATGCACGCTTGCTAAAAGTCCAAGCCCCTCGCCCACAAAACCTCCTTTTCCCCTCCTTTCCAACCCTATCGAGGACGACCCCTACCCCTCTTTCCTTCCCCTATAGATTTATATGCTTTCCATGTCATTCAAATTTGATCCATTTTCTCTAAATGACCAAACCACCTCAACAACCCCTCTTCTGCCCTCTGACTAATGCTTTTATTAACTCCACACCTTCTCCTAATTTCCACACTCCAAATTTTCTGCATAATATTTACACCACACATTGCCCTTAGACAGGACATCTCCACTGCCTCCACCGTCTCCTCACTGCTGCATTTACCACCCAAGCTTTACATCCATAAAGAGTGTTGGTACGCTAACTTTCATTTCATTCCCTTTTTTGCCTCCATAGATACGTTTTTGACTTCCCCATATACCTCAACGCACCACTCACCTTTTTCCCTCATTAGTTCTATGAATTAACCTCATCCTTCATAAATCCATCCGCCGACAGTCAACTCCCAAGTATCTGAAAACATTCATTCTTCCATACTCCCCTCCCCAATTTGATATCAAATTTTTCTTTATCTAAATCATTTGATACCCTCATCACCTTACTCTTTTCTATGTTTTACTTTAAAATTTCTACCTTTACACACATTCTCAAACTCATCC